AATTATATTTCTGTTTCTTACCTCTTGTTTAATTTGCGCATTGCTGGTGCGATTAAGTACGTCATGAACAATGGTACCGATCTCAAATGCTTGATTCTTATTGGTTTCACAAGCCCATACTATCATTATTAACTTTAAAAATTCATACGCTATACACATTAAGAAAAACACGTCACAAATCTCATCATCCAAAACGAACGACAGTCCATTTTGCCATCGCAGTAAATGAGAATACAATTCAAAAGTGATTTCAGTAAACGTTAAGGCTGTAGTAACAAGTAGCTGTAGACTGAAGATTACGTTCAGCATTTGCACTGTGTTGCTGATCATTAAATGCTGCTTTTTCAAGATCTTGAGTTCTACCCGTAAGAATTGATTTTTCTGCGTATGCCAGATCGTTCTGAAAGTGTATGATGCATCGTTTGCTACAATCTTTTGCATGTGCACCAGATTATCATGGATTCTCTTAAAACAAGCCTTTAATACACAAACACAGTTCATATATTGCATATCCATTTGAAACACCAGCACTGAGATGTATCCTGATAATGCCACGATGAAAGGATTTTCACGTGTTCTGTAATAATACATGGATGCTTGCATGATTAAAAAAAAGGTACACGAAATATCCTTTACGTGGATCCATCTAGATAGCTTCTGATACGATTCTGGAGGTAATCTGGAAGAGGTCTCCAGTATGGCCTGTAGCACGCGCATTCTTGGACCGCTTAAGAAACACGTAATGAGTACTGTGAAGCCGCCGAATGTAAAGAAAGTGAGAATTTCAAGAGTCTGGGTTACGTATCCAAAGTTAACTGTTTTAATAATGAAAATTTCATGCAACGCTATTAGTTCGCTAATACAAATGACGCAAAAAAGAAACATTTGCAGAATGTAGCGCAGTCTAGAAGTCTCGATGGTCGAAACGTTGATTTTGTACGGGAATATTCCGAGGATGCGACAGATGGTGAAGTTGGGATACATCAAAGACTGAAAGTCTGTGGCGTGAAATAGGTGCCATTTTTTCCACATTTTATCCTTGGTTTGTTCTTAGGATGATAAGTCGAAGTATCATGAAGGATAGTTTAAGTCTTGCATGACAGTCTACATTATTAATCGCATTACACTTGAATATTTTTTTGCCTGCGAAAGCTTTAGTATAAATACAATTTTTCCACTGACTTTTTAATGACAAATGCATACAGCAATGTAAACTTCTTGTCGTCAATTTGCACCTGGCGATTTTCAATTTGAAATTGCTGCGACAAATAGCGAAACAGAACTGAAGGTTTGTGTGTTAGACGTAAAGTAACCATGACACTCTTCGATCGGCAAACATCATAGAATACCACGTATAAAGAAACGATTCAGTTGCTATAAATGCAACTCGTTAAATTATATGCATGCAGATTAAAGTTCAAACATCCAATGCATTATACCTGTATGTATTGTTTTTAAAGATTTATAAATAAGGACTATTTAATTCTAAATTCTATAGAGGATAACTGATATTTTTATGCTACGACTTCTAGAGATATAATTTAAATGTTATGTAATATATAATTGTTCATCAAAGATCTTTTTTTCTTTTTTGCAAAACTACTTGTGTTTTTAGTAACGAAATGATATTGTCGTAAAGTTTCAAAGACGCGAGAAAAACTTTATAATTTTGCAAGCAAATTGATAGAAAAGAAAATTCCATGGATCATTTAATTATATGATAATGAAAGAAAATTCACATTTTATAGTAATAATGAAGAAAATGTTTGAAGAAAATTCTATGCTGTACAATAATTTTTGCAACAAAAAAATGTTAGATTTAGTATAGTACATTTATAATAAATCCAAGACAACATTTTTTCAAAATATTTATTATAGCCAACAAACACAGTGCGCTTAAAAAAATACATTTACTGAAAAAAAGTAAAACATATTAAAACATGATTTAAAATTTTCTGTCAATGTAATGTATGATATAAAATTTTTTTATTATTTTATTACATGTGCACATACACATATATGTATAACTAGCTCAAGTATAAAATATAAAGCTACTACATTCTGTTTATAACGATGAAAAGAGATGCTTTTTCAACACTTAAAAACACAAACGGTTTTTTAAATTACATTTATAATTTTTGTGTTCATGTATTTCTATGTTTTTTTTTATTAGATTACTTCTATAATACTGATAGCTCTTCCATCACAGGAATGCGATGTAACCAAGAATTGTATTAAGATTAACAGATATGTGGTGATACTACCAACCATCTAAAAAAAATCATAAAAATGAATAATATGCATTTAATTAATTGAAATAAATAATCAACTACTCACCGCAGTGAGAAGTGTCGCATCCACGGTAAGACCTTTTGCGGAGAATGTATTTTCTCGATGCAGTATTTGCATAGAAAATAGTTCCAACTGTAACATTATAGTAATAAATAAATAACTATAATTATTAATCCGGTAATTTAATACATAGAAGATGCATTAAATATACAAGATTTTAAAAAATCGATACCTCATCTTTAATTTGCTTATCGTTGGTACTGTTAAGCATATCGTGAACAGTGACGCCAATCCTCGCAGCTTGATCTTTGCCGCTATCGCAAGCCCACACTATCAATACTATTTTTACAGCATGATATATCACGGACATGATGAAAAACCAGTACCAGAATTCTTCCTCCTCTTTGGCCATGGATAGAACTATGTAGAAGTACAGATTAAAAGTGATCTCGGCGAAACTCAAGACTACGGTAACGATGATCTGCAGACTGAAAATCGTATTCAGCATCTGCAAGGTGTCGCTGACCATCAGATGTTGCTTTTTTAAGGCTTTAAGTGTCATCAGCAGGAATGGATTCCTCTGCTCGTGATAAGTTCGCCTGAGTAGATGCGGCTCATCGCTCATTACGAGTTCCTGCACCTTCACCAAATTATCGTTAATTTTTTTGAAACAGAACTTCAATACGCAAACGCAATTCATGTACATCATGTCCATTTGAAGCAGCAGCAAAGAGAGGTACAGTGCAAACATAGTTAGCACAAGCGTATTAAGAGGCATCTTGATGCAACATATTAATCCTAGACCGATAACGAATAAGAAACTGAAGATATCCTTGACATAAATTAGCCTCGACAACTTTTGATACGATTCCGAAGGTAATTTTGAAGAGATCTCCAGTATGGTCTGTAGCAAGAGCAGCCGTGGACCTCTCAAGACGTACGTGACGATCGCTGTGAAAACACCGAGCAAATAATAACTGTGTCGCTCAAGAGATCTGGGTACGCTTATGTACATGATCGTTCCAGAAATGTCGAGTTCATAGAAAATAACTATTCCGTAGACGCAGAAAGCGCAGATTACAATGGTCGATAGAATGTAACATGATTCTGAGGCCTCGAAAGTCGAATTGTTGATCCTATACGGGAATATTCCGAGAATGCGGCAGAAGGTGAAGCAAGGATACATCAAGGATTTAAAGTCCGTAGCGTGAAATAGTCGCCACCTTTTTCGCATATTGCTGTTGGCTTGTTTCTGGAATTTTAATAACGAAACTGAGTCTATAAATCAAGGAAAATTTACGAAAAAAATCGTAATTTTCAATTATACACAGTTAAAAAATTATTTATCACATTATCAATGCACTTTTTCAATGTGAGAGTAATTGCGGAAGTTTCTTCTATGAGTTTCTTCTATGATATTATGCAACTTTTAATTTCGTCTTTTAACGGCCATTGCATAATTTCATCTTTTCGATCTGTACCGGACAAGTTTAATTTAAAAACTATGAGCAATTGCTGAATCAAGTAGCGACGAATGCTTTAGAGATCATATGTTAGGCGTGAAGTAACCATGGAGCTCTTCGATTTGTACTTGTCACCTGCGAAGTGAAGTGCATAAGGAAATTATATCTTATTGCTTCAATGTGCTGACCATATATCAAATCTTGTAGACACACAAAACAGGAGACATCAATTGTACAATATGAATTGATGACTCTTAAAGATTGATTAATAACAATTTTGATCTGATATTGCAGATATTTATTATGCGTTTGGGACATTTGAGAACGTTTTTCACTTCGAGATGTAATACTTATAATTGCATAAATATACACGGGCACATATGTGTATTGCCATAATTTTGAATGAAAAATCGTCAATATACAGTTTTTATTTAATCAAAAGTATATTATCATTAATATTTCTTTTTTGAATTCAATATGGAGTTAACCGTAATTGAAAATTATTTTTGTGAATATATTAAAATATAACACACGATACTTCTTTAATTTTTGCATAATTATTTAAGCAATATTATTAACTGAAGTACCGTTAAATTATGAGATAATATTTTGAAAAATTTTAATATTGCAACAGGAGACGAGAAAGCGGATATAATACCAATAAACTGAGTCATAACATAAAATCAGTGAGATTATCTGAATTAGAATTAATTTAATTAATTATCTAGATGAAAAGGAATTGATTTATATATTTCTTCGACTGTTGAAAAGATAATTGCTATGCTTTATAGAGAAGAAAATATTTAATAAGATAGTTCTATTTCAGCAAAAACAAAAAAGTAAAAGGTCGATATGCTGTCACGTTAGGAATCACATTATCCTTTTAGGAAAATATAATCAAATTATCATTAGTAAATAAAACTCAAACGTACACTTCACTAATATACTGTATGAGCTATTCTCAGGAACATAAAAAAGACAAAAGTTTTAGTAACTCTAAAGAGAAACAATAAAAACTGTTATTACTCTTATTGTTATTTGTAATATATAATGCCAAAAAATCAACCGAACGATACAAAAGGGGCTTAAGCTCTGTAGCATTGAAGTAACACACATAACGGTATTTTCAACTTATTTTGTAAAAGAAGCAATTTTATAATTTTATCACATACGAATTTGACATAAAAATATTTTTAATTTCTAGAAGAAATTAAACTAAATTTAATTTATAGAAGAAATTTTAACGCCCGATGTAATTATATGTGTCATAAACGAAACTTGAGCGTACATACCTCGTTTCTGATTTCTATAATAAGTACGTCTGTTTAGTAAAGTTGTGATTAAAATTTTGTCGTATTAATCTTCTAATTCAATGAGAAATGTTCATGTTGCATTGTATTAAAAATTTGAATTAATGGCACAGTTAAGAAAACAATTAGAATGTTAGATTGTTTTTAGGTAGATTCAAGATATTAAATAAGTCAAAAGCTATATTTTACTTATTACTAGAAATTTATCCTGTTTTACATTCTTATTCATTTAAATTTTTAATACGTAAAATATTCAAAATTTCTTTAAAATTTAATTGCAATAATTGCTCCGTGTTTGTTAATATTTATTATTCATATTTGTATAAGGAAAATTATCATCTATGTACATGAATAATTATTTACAAATAAAAAAATGTTCTGTCTTTAATTATGTATCTCTTTTTATGAAATTATATTATTCATGTAAAATTGATTTCCCATCGCAAGAATGTGACGTAATAAAGAATTGTAGCAAAATTAACATATACGTGGTAGTGGTTCCCATCATCTAAAAACAAAATAAAAATATGAAAAGTTACATTTTATTAATTAAAACAAATGCTCGATTTACTCGTATTACTCACTGTAGCGAGAAACGTTGCGTCCAAATTGAAACATTTAACAGAAAATGTATTTATGCAATGCAATATTTGTAAGGAAAACAACTGCAACTGTAATGATAGATTAAATTGTAAAAAAATTAATTTAAAGATAATCGCAACTATATTTAAATAGATTAATTTAACGTATCAAAATTGTATACAACATCTCATTAAAAAAATTACACAAATTATATTACATTTTTATTACCTCGTGTTTGATTTGCTCATCTCTTGTGCTGTTAAGTACGTCGTGAATCGTAGTGCGGAGCTCTTGAGCTTGATTCTTGCCCGTCTCGCAGGCCCACACAATGAACGCCATTTTTAAAACGTAGTATACCATGGTATTTAAGAATATCTTACCAAACTGTTTATCCAACTTGATGACCAACCCATCATGCCACTGCAAGAGATGGTAATACAATTCAAAATTGATATGAAGGAAGATTATGATTATCGTAGCAAGAAGTTGCAGACTGAAGGTCATGTTCAGCTTTTGTACTGTGTTACTGATTGCCATATGTTGTTTCTTCAGAGCCTTAAGCTTCATTATCAGGAATGGCTTTCTCTGCTTGTGGTAAAATATCGTAGAAATATATGGTTCACTATTTATTATGAGTTCCTGCATGCGTAGAAGATTGTTGTTAATTTCCTTGAAACAAGCTTTTAGCACACAAACACAGTCCGTATAGAGCATATTTGTCTGAAATATCAATAGAACTGCATATATCGAAAAAATTGTTTCCGCGATATTGATACGCGTCTTGTAGCAATATG